TCAGAAGCACATCTGAAGCGGTCGTAGATTCCTGCTGTACCCTTGGTGATCCTGTCTGGCTGCTGGCTTCACTATCTGCCTTGGAGGCCACCTGCTCCACCTGGAAAGGCTGCCATGCGTCAGCCTTCAGACCAAAGATGGCCTTTTAGCTGAACCGAGAAGCAGAAGAGACCTGAAAACAGCTCCAATTCAACTATTCCCATTAGTACTATAATTATAGTTAATTGCAATTTAGCACGCTACTGACAGAAAGATTTCAATGCCATCTGTCATCACAAAACCCTTCCACTTGCCTGGGAACACTGTGCGTTTCCAAGAGCAACGTCTGCACAGCTGTAACACGACGCATGTTCAGCGGCCTGTATCCATCCTGCTAAGTACAGCTGTGTTCAGCAGCCGGTCATAGCTGACACACGAGAGCGCCGTGAACTCACCTGTAGGTTTCTGCCTCAAACCCCTTGGAACACACTGTCTGCGATTCCTGCATCAGGTCATCAGGTGGGAGTACAGCGAGAACGTTGATACCTCGGCTTCTACACGGCGCCCCCTGGTGGAACAAATAGGTATTCGAAGACTCACACTAGCAGGTAGAGTCTTGCGAGAACATGCTGGCAGCATTAGCCTGCCCCCTCCTGTTTCTTCACTTCATTACACAATTTTCATTAAAAAGTCACTTATGGAGTCCGAGCTTAAATGCTACCAACTATTGTCCTAATGAAATGATGCTTTATTTGTTATTTGCACAGTTCATTGGAATTCGGATCATGTTCCCATCCTGTCCCTGTTTGGTTTGTGTTCCTGTCCAGTGTGTGTTCCCGTCCGGCGTGTGTTCCTGTGTGGTTTGTGTTCCTGTCCAGTGTCTGTTCCCATTTGGTTTGTGTTCCTGTCCAGTGTGTGTTCCCATTTGGTTTGTGTTCCCAGTCAGTTTGTGTTCCTGTGTGTGTTACTGTCCAGTTTGTGTTCCCATCCGGTTTGTGTTCCTGTCCAGTGTGTGTTCCCATCCGGTTTGTATTCCTGTCCAGTGTGTGTTCCCATTCGGTTTGTATTCCTGTCCAGTGTGTGTTCCCATCCGGTTTGTGTTCCCATTCGGTTTGTATTCCTGTCCAGTGCGTGTTCCCATCTGGTTTGTGTTCCCAAACAATTTGTGTTCCTGTGTGGTATGTGCTCCCTTTCGGCGCACAATCAAATCTGGCACGTGTTCCCGTTTGCTTTGTGTTCTTATTAGGTTTGTGTTCCCGTCCGGTTTGTCTTCCCGTCCGGCACATGTTCACATTTGGTTCCTGCTCCCATTTGGTGAGTAAACAATGGACCTGGAGAGTGAAACCCAACCACATGGACAGAAAAGCCTTTCGGTTTCACCAGACTACAACGTCACTCAGGGAAGCAGAAGCTGAGATCACTGTGTGTCAGTGAGTCGACTAATTATAGTAAAGAAATTCCTCAGTTCGGTCTTCTGTATGTTTATCCTCCTGAGACCCCACCCATTCATTTATGTCCATTGTAGTGGACATGTTGTTTTTGCATCTATCTTTTCACATATTTATTCTTGTTGTACACTAAAGAGGACATGCTGTGAAATTAAAAATAAAAATAAATTTGAAAAAATCTAAATTGTTATTTCCTCCAAAGACAGATAACCTATAATTGAAGGACACTTTTTTCCTTGGGTCTCAGGAGGTTAAAAAAAAAAGCAGGAAGCTCATTTGAGGATGGCTTGGACCTGCTCTGGAATAACTGGGTAGGAAAAGAACATCTTTGCTTCTAGACGCACCTCTGGGGTCCTCAGGCTGGTGCCACATGGTGCTGACCTGGGCCAGGGTCCTCCACAGCAGGTCTGGAGTGATGGAACCTGAACCCCCATCTGCAGTGTAGCAGGCAGAGTGCTCAGCAATGAAGTCAGCAATGAAGTCAGCAATGCTCCCCCCCCCCCATGAACCCCCCCAGCAATGTGCCCCTGACTCTGTGGGGAGGCTTCCTGCACAGGTGTACAGCCAGCAGGTTGCCCGGCGACTCTGAGCACCAGCGCAGCAGACATGCAGCCGCAGCAGCGATTCTGGCCTGTGGGGGCGGGACCCGGAGCCAGCAGAAGAGTGACAGGAAGTGCATTGTGCCCCCCAGGCGGTGACACATCCAGCGCGGGACACCACACTGTCACTGTGACTGATCACCGTGACGCACACTATTGTATTCAGTCATTATCTATTTCATTAGAAGTCGGCGCATCTCTCTGAAAAGCTCGTCTCTCCGAAAACAAAACCCGGTGCTATATGAGCATTTGTGCGGCTCACTGCAGAGGAATTACATCATCCTGATCGGGCTTAGATCTGCAACCTTCCTGCTGGGATGTTCTGCCCCTCACCTCACAAATGGAACACAGGGGGCACTGCAGCCCGGTCCTCAGGGCCTCGCATGGCGGGCTAGCCCTCTCCCGTGCCCCTGGTGGTGTTAATACCCAGCAGGTTACAGCCACATTCACCGGGAGCAGGAAGCCCCCAGAGTTTCCAACGACAGCCTTAAAAACTCTGAAACAGAAACAGCACCATATGCCCCAGTTAACGCACAAGCAGACGGGTGTTTATGCAGTAATTAGCAGGACACCTCTGCTGACAGCCATGGAAGAAAAATCACCACACAAGGGGCTAATAAATTACATGAAACTGCAGCAGCCAGAGATGAGAAAGTACATTCTCTTGGACTCCTGCAGGACGCACAACGTACTAACCTGCATATCTGATCATAAACTCTAGTTCCATAACGTAGGAAATTTGGCTGGCTAAATACTCCTGAGAACTTCCTTGTAGTTCATGAAAGGCAACATTACAATATCCTTGAGAAAAGGAGAAGGCCACTTTGTATATCAGGAACATGCCATTTTGGTGACCCTATATGCCGTGTACACATGCATTAACAACCATGACCAGCAGAGGGTGCACAAGAGCTGAATTAGGAAGAAGCCCTGGACTCCAGCACCTTACACACCAACTCAACAGCAAAACTAAGCTGTCTTTAGCTGCTTCAGTGTGAGAAACAGCAAAAAGCTCCCCACCTTAAAGAGTGATAGCAAGTAAGACAATTGAGAAAGCGGGGTCAGCCAATCCCTGGTACAGCTAGAGGCCCCGTGTCAGGGGCCCAACTGTGAAATCATTCTGCCAGCCACAGGATCTGAACCAACATCCTTCTGGGTCCAAACCCACAGAGCCACACAGCGCCACCTGTCAGAGGGGGTATTGCATAAATTTTGTATATTATACAGTCTGAATCCTATAAGAATCTATCTGAATCTTGTTGTGTACTGTTTTCAACTTAAGATCTGTGTGGTGTTTATTATATGTTAAGTGTAGTCATTGTGAACAATTCACCACCACGAATTCTCATTCTAAAGTAGCTGGTAGGAGGAATCTGTACATCGGTCAAGGTGACCTTCAAACACGAAGTGACTCAGCTGATGGCCGTGTGACCTATAGTGAGAACAAATCATCCTGTGACAGATGAACACAGACGTGTCATAATTTGCCAGTCAGAGAAGACGTTTCCTTCTCCTGACACTTTCTGAGCAGCTGGCACGACGGCTGCGAGAGCTCCTGATCTGGGAAGCAGACGGCATCACCTTGAAGGTACAGAAGAAGCTGACAGC